TAGGCAAACTTTGCTATACTTGTCGTGCAGTAAGTCATTGAGTTTTGTGACCACAAACTCAGCCATAGGTCTAACGCTGTGTAAGTCATGTATGCGTCGACTTATATGACAGACACACCAGTGCTCTAATACGGGTATACTATCACAGCTCCTGTTGTATGGGATCTCCTCCAATAGGGATAACCCATATTTTAAAGTAGTATTCGGTTTACCTAAAAAATTAACAAGATAAATTATTTTACAGTTTAAAGTTTGCACTTATTCATAAAGTGCAAATAATTCTAGCATGCTAAAAAATGTTTAAATTAGATTTCAGTTTATAGAAGTAATTGTAAGCATTTTCTTACCTTCGAGTATATGCTTAAGCGTTGAGTGTATGTCGAAAGGAGTGGTGAGTCGGTCCTCATTGACCGTCAGATTGCGGTAACGGTATCTCTGGGGGACATATATGTGCATAAAAGGCAGCCTTTCCTCATACCTTCCCGACAGTGTCTGTCGTATTCTCCGAACCTCAACCTGTGGTCCGAGAAGAACACGATTACAGTATTCGACACCAAATTCTCGGCAAATAATTGTCCAAAAAGTCTATCAATAATGGGATCAAAATATCCGACATTATTAAGGATGTCGTGTGTGAGTCGAGCCATGAAATGAAACGCAAAGTACTTCTGTTTTCTGGCATTCATTGCACGGATAAAGTCCAACAAATACTCGTAATATACCTCAAAATAATATAACAATTAGTAAACAATTAGAAAACATTAGTTTTAATAAACAGACCTCCAGTTCCACTCGACCTAAGTAGCAATAATCCTTAGTCTTAGAGTCCATGGCCAGGTAATAGGGTCTGAGGTAGTAGTCAGTAGGGGGGTCGGCGAACCCCTTTTTCTCATAATTATATGTATGCATAATGGGTGCATCCTCCATATACAATGTTTTATTGCCTTTCCGATGATATTCCTATTTTTTAGAACAAATTTAAAATTTTGGGAAACTACAACTAGGTTAATAGGTGAATCAAAATTATAAACTAACTTTCCATATGAAGGGAAAGTAGTCAAACTGTGTGTTCATTGTCTCATCCCATAGGTCCTCAACATAATGTCCGGTGAGAAGTGGTGTGAGGTTTGGGAAGGTATTGTCGGCCACTTTGTTATAGCCATATATTGTGTGAAATCCCTGTCCACTGATGATATTGCGGGCAGTGATGGGAAAGTGTCGGTCGAACTGCAGTCTCGACACCGAATCGATGCCAACGAACAATACGTTCGGTAGATCTGGAGATTCCGGTAATTCCCGGACAGTCGGCGACTCTATGACTGGTATAAGTGATATCACTTTCTCATAGTTTTCTAAATAAAATTCAATTTAAATAAATATAATTATTAGTAGCTTCAAGTTTACTATATATTAAAATTTTATTAATAATTAATCAATAAAAAATTACATTATTTAATTGTATGGTAAACTTAAAAAGTCAGATAACCCAACAAAAGTCCAATTATTTTAATTAGGATAGGCTTTAAAATAGATATTAATCAAAACATCAAAGAGTAGCCTATTTCTGAAACTGAGTAATGCATTGGTTTTCACATTTAACATATAATTTGCAATATAAATTAGTAGTTCTTGATATACCAGTATATTAAATATGTTTTATTTTAATAATATAATTTATAAACTAATTATAATTTCATCCAATTTAACCATTTATAAATTGTAAACAAATTATAATTAAAACTACACTATTGTTTGCATTAACTCAATAAACTAAAGACTAAACTCTTTTGCAAATTATATGTTAAATGTGAAAACCAATGCATTACTCAGTTTCAGAAATAGGCTACTCTTTGATGTTTTGATTCATATATATTCCAGATAAATTTATATTACAGTTTGTATTGTGAGCACTAAAAAGAAATATTATTTTTCTATTTTATATTACAGTATTTATAATATAATTAGTCATTCATACCTTCATGTATAATACAATGCACACTCACAACAATATCATTAGGAAAATATGTAATTATCAACGAATTTAACACCAATTTTGCTGAATAGTGTACTTTATTATCGCACTTTTCATCTCTAATCACACTTTTTGCCCAACATTTCAATGATTTTTGCGAATCACTCGTGACTTTAATTCCCGTAAAATTGTATCTCTCTATCGAAATGTTGTACTTATTTTTAGGTGCTTTACATACAATCCTTTTGCCCGACATATTCACATACAGGGGCCGCACCTGGTCGTCAAGCATCGGCCACCGGACTATACGACACGTACCGGTGCTCACGAGGTATGCACTGTTTATATCACTTATTCTATTAACAGAATATTCTGTACTATAGTTAAGTACTGTTGAGTCAAATACATTATCATTATTTAAATCATAGGAATATTCATTATTCACTAAATCCTTGTTACTATTAAACATGAAATTATATACAAATCGACGATCTAGGTTAATTTTATGAACATCAAACTCGTACACCAATAAAAACATTAACACAAACATTAAAATAATAATTAACTTTTTAGCCATATTTTACACACGTAACCAGGTAATTAAATTTTTATCACATTTATTTAAATTTAAAAATAATTCTCTAAAATATATTGAAAACTGATAATAAATTCCATATTTATCGGGAAAATAGCTGTTATTTTGCAAACATTTTCAATGTATTAACACAAATGAAATAATTACCTAATATTATAAAATAAAACAAATACAAATACAAGATATTAAAGGTTTGTGTTAAATAATTAATATAATATTACATTTACATATCAAGGTATTTTGTGTGAATTTACATGAAAAACATTTCATTTCTATTATATTAACATAAAATCAATTTGTGTAGCATAATAATAAAATTGATTTTTATGTTTTACTTATTTATAAGACATAGAAAATTAATTTTATTTATCAAAACAGATTGCAATCGTATGTCACAAACAAAATTACAGTATACTATCGCTAAGGTGCACATACAACTTTACATGCTAACATTCAATTAAACTATTTAATTTATTTGAACAATTATACTGGTACATAGTTTAAATATTTATAAAATAAAGCTTTTATTTGTTATGTTATATTATTAATCAAGATTTAGTGTAAGTTTAATAATATTATGATTGGTGTATTAAACATGTAAGGTGTTAGTATATATTTATTACTAATCTTAATTATCAATAAAATAATTATGTTAATACAGTACAAGCTTCCAGTTGTGAAGTTCTATGTTATGTACGGCTCTAACTTATGAACAGTAACTTATTTTTTGACGGATTGCCTATACCTGTAATGTTAAATGCATTCTCTACTATGAACTTCCTAGTTATGTATATTTCCCAGTTATGTATGCATTTCACTGGTAATAAGGCTTAAAA